GAGAGATAAAGTGACTTCTGCAAGGTCCCAGCTTTTAAATTTACATTGTATGAACTGCAGGGGAGTCTGGCTCCACAACACTGCTTTGCTTTGAGTGAAACTCAACAACTGTAACACTTACTTAATAACGGAGAATAGACTGGTATTTTTAAATATACCTGCGTGGCCATCCTACAGCTAAATTATCTGTTTCGCAAAATAACTCTTGCTCGTGGCTAGACAAACACTCGGCGAAACTGTCAAGTCGATGAAACTTGTCTGTCCTTCCCTCTCTGCTGCTCTACTTTTCTCTCCCTCACCCTTCCACCCTCCGCCCATGTACTCCAACCAGGTGCCCCTACCACCCTCTACTAAAGACCCACGTGGCTGTGCATACTAAGAGCCCTGGGGGATCAGACAGTGTGACTGTAAGCTCCCCGTAGTTAGGGACTGTGACTTATTCAACTGAAGTTATTCTAATGCACATAATATCAGTAGTGTAGACATTTAATAGTCAGACATTTACTAATCCCTCCTAGAGCTGGTACTAGGCTAATAGTTGGTAGTGAGGTAAGGTGACTAAGATAATGCCTCCTGGCCTCCAAGAGTTCATACTTTAGCAGGGTAGAAGGATGTGAAAGAAACTGATTGTTACACAACTGCACTACAGAAAGTACTATTGATACACAGCTACATCACTAGGAGCCCTGGGAGATAGGAGGAGGGGTCAGTCTGTTCTACCCTTGGGGGCAGAATATTCCTCTTCTATTCCCGGGCTTTTCCCACAGTCAGGGAGGTGAGCCAAGTGCCTGGAGCTACAACAGGCTCTGGGCCCAGAGGAGAGACTCAGAACGGCTGTGCTGGCTGGAAGACACAAGATCAATTCATAGGATGGCATTCTAGGCCCAGAGTATCAGAGAAAGAAGGACTGAACTGAAGTTGACCAGATCCCCATAACTGCTGGGTGACTTCAGGGAAATTACCCCACCCCTTTGAGCCTCTGTTCTCATTTCCTTCACTCACTTAACATTATTTATGGATTGGAGGTTTGGGGACAGTCCCATGTCTCTGAGCCTCTGTTTTCATTTTTATGTGGGTTAAAGTTACCAGGGGCAAAGCAGCTAGCAGTGTCTGGTACATAGTAGGTACTCAGTGATCAAGTTTCTGTACCTTTCCTTTCCCTGCCCAGCCCAGTTTCCATCTCCTGTTGATCTGAGATTTATTTCCTCACCACCGTGTGAAAGTCACTGTACCTAAATATCTGTTTCTTCAAGGGATTACAGGACCCTGGGAAACGAGAGGGACTAAGCTGGCTTGGGCTCTGGACACTCGAACAGGGTGGTGGGGCTCTCCTCGTGTGTGATCTTCAGGTCTTCCCTGATGCCACTTTTTTTTTTTTTTTTTTTTTCGGATACGCTGGCCTCTCACTGGTGTGGCCTTTCCCGTTTCAGAGCACAGGCTCCGGACGCGCAGGCTCAGCGGCCATGGCTCAGAGGCCCAGCTGCGCATCGGCAGGCAGACTCTCAACCACTGCGCCACCGGGGAAGCCCTCCAACTGTGGGTTTTTAAATACTGGAGTTGGTATACCACATTCCTTCTGGAAATAAATCAGAATAAGTGGCAGGAATTCTGAGAAACAGCGGTTTCTGATTTGGGTTCCATTCTCACTTGAGGGATTATGAAGCCGAAAATCACATTTCAAACTCTTTATTCCAGGGTCGGTAAGGGGATGCAGTCATTATTCTGGGTCTAGAGGTGGAGGAAAAACTAGACAGTATGCCATAAAGTTGTCTCCAGCAGGGCTCAGAGGATAGCCTCTGTGGTGTGCAGTTAACAGGTCAATGTTGACTTAAACTATCAGTTCAGCACACATCTCGCCTAAGAAGTTTTTTTTTTTTTAAAGCAAAAACACAAATGCAGTGTGTCTCCCAGCACGGGCAGCTAGAACAGCTGGCCTGGTGTTAGGACAACACAGCCTTGCAGTCAGTGGAAGGCAGAAACCCCCTAACCAGCTGGAAAATGCCGGCCCGGCCTCTCAAGCTCTCGGGACCCTGCAGCTCTCCAGGCTTGGGCCCTGGGCCCCCACACGTCATTCTAGAGTGAGGGCGTCGCGGAGATTCCTCATGAAATGTGCTCGCAGTTCTCTGACACTCCTGCCATGGGGGTGTGCTGAGGACACTTCACATTTTTCTCAGGAGGTCAGATGTCGGCTTTTCGACATGCTCTTCTGAACCAGCACACTCGGCGGGCACCATGGTACCATCCCAGGCCTGCGCCGAGCTAGCCAGAGAGCTTGCTTGCTTTTTCTTCCTTATTAAGTCCTCGTGAAAATGAACTGTGTCCGCCACTTACTAAGGCCTTACTGTGTGTCAAGCAGTTTTAGGCACTAAGGAGACAAAGTTAAAAAGACAGGACTGACAGACCACATTGGAACTCAGAGTCCCATAGGGAATAACGGCAGGTAAACGTGTCTGTCAATCAGACTTCCTTTTAAAATGAACGTGGCCCTTGCGTTCTTGGAGTTGGGTGTGTGTACAGAGGACTGTGTCCACAGATAACCTGATGGAGACCCCCAGGGTCCTCTCCTTCCTTTATACTCATGTGGAAAGAGTGCTATGATTTATGAAGTAAGTTTATGTTATCTCATTTAATTCTAACAGTATCATAGGCTTTCTTGGCAAGAACAACTATCCCCATTTTCAGTTGAGAAAACTGAGACTTCAGAACGATGAAGAGGCTGGCCAAGCCCACAAAGGAGCACACGGCAGAAGGAGGATTATAAAGCAGGTCCCCTGGTTCTCGCCCCAGCGTTCCCTTCCACCGCCGCCCCATGAGCGTGCCCCCCTCACGCCTGCACCCCCGCCTTGGCCCACCTGCCCATACCTGAACTGCAGCTTCTGGCTCCTCCCTGTACCTCCCTCCTTGCCTCTGCCTCAGACTTCCCACCTTAACGACAACAACAATGCCTGCTTTCCCCAAGCCAATGGTTCTCAAAGTCTGGTCCCCAGAACTGCAGCATCAGAAAACCTGGGAACTTATCGGACACACAGATCCTGAAGCCCCATCCGAGACCTGCTAGATCTGAAACCCTGGGGGTGCGTTTTCATGAGCCCTCCGGGTGATTCTGCTGCGTGCTATAGCTTCAGGACCAACCTGACCTAAATTAAAAAGCTAAGCTAAGCTCCTCTCGAGCACAGCGTTGCCCCACAACAATCACCTGGCCCCCATGTGCATAGGCCCCATGACTAAAGAAGAAAGCCACCTGGTCTGGCCCCCGTGCAGCCGTCATAAAGTGCAATCATACTCAGCGAAATTCTTCAGGGCCAGCTTAGGCAGAAACTTGAAGGGTAACAGGCTTCCCCACTTTCTCAGCTCAGCAGAGCAGTGGCCTTTAACTCAACCCCCTTCCACCTCATCAGACCCAGCTCTTGGCTCCGGGACTAGGTGCCACTACGGTGGGAGTGGGTTTGTTGATATGCATCCCTCCCCACTGACTACAAAATACAACGAAAGGCTCCAAGCTTGTTCGAGGCAGAAGCCAAGACTGACTCCACCTCAAACAAATGCTAGCAATAAAATATGAGCCTCACCACTGTACTACTTTCTACGATGTACAAAGCTCTTCCGTAACTCTCACAAGGGTCAGGAAAGCCAATTTTGAATCTCGGATTAGAACCCAAGACTCACGATTCATTCCCTAAGGACCTATCTACTGTTACATGCCAGGCATTAAATAAATTCTTGTCAGTTATCTAGTGGAGCTATCCTAAAACTGTAAGTTCTGGTCACGGTGTCACCCCATGTCATCCGAGCACGTTGCCACGTGGAAAGAATGTTCTTTTCACAAACCCAGTCCATTAGAAATAATGCAGAGGCAGGCTCTTAAACAAAGGATAACTTCCTGGATCCAAAGCCCCAAGTTTATAGAAAGGGCGGGAACAACCTCCGAGCCCTGCTTTTCCTTGTGGAAAGCTGATAATGCTCTCATCCTCTCCCTTGATTTTGATCAAAAGGTCTCTAGTTTTCTCTTACAAGTAATGAAAGGTGGTAATTCTATTATCATTTTCATGTCTGTTGCAGCAACATTTGGAGGGAACGAAAGAGGCCTGTGGAGGTTCCCACACAATCACTTCTTTGCCCATCAATATGGTACTTTCGTTCAGTTCTAAAATACACAAAAATCCCATCTGAGAAATGAGAAGCTGTCAGAGGTTAGAAACAGACACACTGTCTTCCGTATGCTCCGAAGAGGTGGAGACCTGCACAAGAATGAGCCGGTAACCCTCCCATCCCAGCTCCTTTATTTTCATTTCTTAGAGACTATCTCTTCTGGATCACGCGCCCCCCCCACCCCACACCCGCCGCACTACATTCATAACCAGGGAGGAGAGATGGAGGAAAGAGAAGGCATAAGATTCACAAAAGACTCTAATCTGGAGCATTAATAATTACAGCAGCTGAAAAGCTGACGAAAGCAAAGAAGGACCCTGTTAACAAAACATCATGAGGGTACTTCCCAGAAAACCGCCCAGCCGCGAGATCACTATTCACAACGAGCAAAATCAGAGCCCAGATCAGATCTTGACTAAGCAGACAGACTTGCAGGATTTTCACCTTCACCGCTACAGTTAGCGTTTTTTAAAAGAGCAGTCAGGCTCCATGAGTTTGACAAAGGAAGAAAAACAAAAGGCAGCAAGAGACTCCTTCTGGATAAGCAGTTCCTATTCTGTATTCATACCTCTACACCAGCAACAGCACAGCTCAGATGAGGCACAAGGTGGGGTCTTCGGCACATTCACACACGATCAAACCAATTACCCACGCTGCATCTGTCCTGCAGTAAACAACCAGGACCGGTACCACCTCCGCACCTCCCGCCCCCGTGACCGGGAGAAACCCCGCCACAGAAAAGAACCCTTCTTTTGTGAGAACCAGCCAGAGCCCAAGCTGTCATTACACAGCAAAAACCTAGCGAGAACAAAAAGGCAGCGGCAGACTGATGTAGAAAACCCAGAACATACCTGAATTCTTCAAATGCAAACATGACCTAGTCAGAGACAATTTCCTTATACTGCCTGGTAGCCTTTCTGGTTCGGAGGACAACCGTTAATCAGTCAGATGGTGCAAAGTGCAGAAGAAAGAGGCGGGTCTGCACCCCCCGACCCCCCATATTCTGAACTAGAAGGCTTTCTGCAGACGGGCCTGCAGCCTCCAGCCAGCCAGCTGCTGACGAGCAGCAGCTGACAGGCAGGCAGCTAGAGGACCACGTGATCATTCCAGCAAGTCTGATTAACGCAGCGAACGCTGAGGCTCCACGCTGGGAGCTGGGTCAGTCCCGGGCAAGAAGTGGAACCCCAGGCACGCCTGGGATCCTGGGGAAATCACACAACACACGGCCCCCCGCAAGAACCGTACGGGGGATGGGGTGGGGGGCAAGAGCGTAAAGGCACGAGAGCGCAATCTGTTCCCACGCGCTCTGCTGGGTCACCTCACCCTCCCGCGGCCACTGCTGTGCACAGGGTCAGGTACAATGACCACCGTGGGCAGCGAACGCAGAGGAGACTGATACCGGGCTGCGTGTTACCGGAAGTTCTTCAGAATTCTGTATTTTACCCTTCCACTATCAAACATTATTTTAGCACAAACGCACAAGCTGCTCTGGAATGACAGAATTCACATTTTATGCCCAGCACTTTACCACGAACAACATCACCTTGTAGGTCCAACCAGGATGCGTGACCTCATTTATCTGATTATTCATTTATTGAGTACCTAATACGTACCAGGCTCCAATTCCTTGAAGTACAAAAAATGCTGTAATAATTTCAGAACACAAGTTAAGAAAAAGGAAACGAGACACCAGCCAAAAAAAGAGGAATGTTTCCCCGCTTGTAAAGCCCGAGCTGGCGAGATTTGGCAAGCGAGCTGAGGCTGTGCTCTGAAAGTTGCCATTAAGGAGAACTGTAGCATCTGGATTGCAAATCTTTATAAAATAAGGGAGGCAGACCTCAAATAAAAACCGGTGAGATACTCTTGACTTTTCTTCTCTCCCTCACACCGGCCACTGACTCTGATTCTACCTCATGAAGGTTTCTTTGAATCTGACCCTTCCCCACTCCCAGACCCACTGCCTCAGCTCTCACCTTCAGCATTTCCCTCGTAGTCTTTTGCATTAGTAACTGGTCTTCCATGTTCCGTCCCTTCTCTAACAATCTGCCAGAACAATTGTTCTTAGTCTGATTTTGATGTCCGCCTATTTTAACCCTTAGTTCCTCGGTGGTCACGGGATTGAGTAAAAACGTCTCAGCGCAACACACAGTCTTATTTCTCCAACTTTCTTCCATTAAAACTTTTTACAACCCCCAAAATTCAGCTAGACACTCCCAGTTCCCAAAATAAGCCAGACCCTCTGTCCTCTGGTCCCCAGGCCAACCAGCTCAGATTATTTCTTCCTCCCCACATGGCCTGCACCCTTCCACATGGCCCCCATTGTTCCCTGGGCTGCTCCGTCCCCAGGGGCCTGACCCATCCACAGGACGGTCAGCTGCTCTCTCTGCTGTCAACTGTGCTGCATTACAGCATCCTGCCCACCCCACATCTATGAGGCCCTTGAGGGAGGTCTGTGTGAGGTTCATGTCTGTATTCCCAGGGCCCGGTAGAGAGCTTGACAGGGGGGAGTTACTCGGTAAAGGTTTGCTAAGCGAACCTCCGCAGCTTTCTATCAGGGAGAAAAAGCAAAGCTAGGGCGTGTGTGTATTCACACAAAGGTGCTCAGGATGAAGGTGCTCCTCTTTAAAGTAATGAAGTGATGACGGCCAACTGAGGCGACTGACTGGTGAGCAGGGTACTCTGGGAAATTCTCTGTCCCTCAAATCACACAGCAATCGTCAACTAAGCCGGCCCAGATGCCTTCCACAGTATTCCTGACAGCCTCTGCCGAGACCCTCTAGTGATGGCAGCTTCTTGGCAGCATTGTGATAGATCAGAAAACGCAGGAGAGGCAGAGTCACTAAATAATCCAAGTTTAAGTCCCAGATCTGCCACTTGCTAACTCTGTGATCACTGGCAGCCTGAGACTCCCTGTATGTAAAACGGGAAGAATGCGGATCCTGCCCAGGCCTCTGTCACAGGATGGGGGCAAGGACCCAACAAGGCAGGACTTGTGAAAGTTCTTTACAAGCATGTAAACTTATAGAGATGTTCTTCACTGTCTTCATTACTTCACAAGGTGGTCTCTCGCTGACAGCGCTGACAGCTGGATGGCTCTTTTTTATGCGAGGCCACCCTGGCACTGAAGTTCTGTCTGTTCACAGGAGCTCATTTAATTTTTTTCCCAGGGGGAAGAGGGGCAAGGTATTTCTGTCCTGTGATTCTCAGGACAGGAATACAAGATAAATGGATATGCAGATAAAATCACTGTCCTAAGTCCTTAAAAAAAAAAAAAAAGCAGAGTTTATCCAAGTCTTAGGAAGAACAATTTACCCATACCAAATAAAATGATATGATGTTTTAATTTATTAAACTACCTGGTTAGAGTCACAGATGGATAGGGGTAGGGGCAAGGGCAAGCTTCTCAAGGGAAAGGAGACACCAGACCGAGCACCCACTGCCCATCCTTCCCACCCTTGAGGGCGGGGGTAGTAAACAGCAGACACCCCACAATGACTTGACGGATCTGCTGGTTGGTCTAAAGGTCAAAACCTACATTCCCGGTACTCTTTGCAAGGCATGGGGGGAGCAGCAGGGGCCTTAACCCCCAGAGACTGGGCACGGTGGGAACTGCCAGATGTGCTCTACCATGGCCGCCAGGAAGGTCCAGCGTGTTGATGAGGCCTGGTGGGTTAGAGAACCTTTGGACTTCACGTCTGGTTTCCACCGGCGACTCAAGAATCTCCTCTTGGAGAGCTGGTTATACCTTTCAGGGCAACTCTTTTAAGGTCCTAGTAGAGTTAATAGAAATGGTGAAAAATCGCCAAATCCTAGCACCAAGTGTATTTGAGACATAATTTTATGAGATTCCCCGATTTACTAATAAGAGAACAGAGGCCACAGTGGTTAAGTAACTTGCCCAAGATCATATTGCTATGAAGTGGCAGAGCAATGACTTGCACCCGGGTAGGTTTATTTATTTATTTATTTGGCTGTGCCGGGTCTTAGTTGCGGCACGAGGGATTTTTAGTTGTGGCATGCATGCAGGATCTAGTTCCCTGACCAGGGATCAAACCCAGGTCCCCTACATTGGGAGCGTGGAGTCTTAACCAGGGGACCACCAAGGAAGTCCCTCCTGCACCTGGTTAGGTTTAATGCCAAAGTTTTTAACCCCTGTGCCTGCTCGGGGCTCCAACGCCACAGATCCAACTGCCTCAGGCTACCTCCCTGAGAGGACTTATTCCACAGGCTGTCAGGCAGCCGTGGCCCTGAGACAGGGCTGGGACATGGCAAACCTTTGAGGTTCCTTCATCCAGCTGGCCCTGGCTAATCCACAGATTTCACAGCCAGATAAGAGACCGCTAAGGGCTGAAAAAATGGTTCAGCTGCCCCAGGAAGTAGGAAAACCTGAGTTGACATGGCCTTCGGACCAGATTGGGAAGGAGTGTGCTTCAAAGGCTGGGTGATAACTAATAACACCAAAGTGTCAGGAATAGGGACTCCTGACCACTCCACTCCTCTCCAAGTGTCACTTCTGTGACCACACAATGCTTTAAAAAAGAGTTATCCCAGGCCATCCACCAGTGACTCAAGGCTCAGACAAAGCATGCTCCTACTCTGTGACTTATGTTCCCTTTGTAACACGAAGGAATAACCAGACAGTAATTTTTTTTTTTTTGCGGTACGTGGACCTCTCACTGTTGTGGCCTCTCCCGTCGCGGAGCACAGACTCCGGACACGCAGGCTCAATGGCCATGGCTCACGGGCCCAGCCGCTCCGCGGCATGTGGGATCATCCCAGACCGAGGCATGAACCTGTGTCCCCTGCATTGGCAGGCGGACTCTCAACCACTGCGCCACCAGGGAAGCCCCAGACAGTAATTTTTTAGGCTTTTGTTTTTTTAAATGCCACTTACTTGGAACATGAAACTGATATGAACACAAAACTGATAAAAATGGAAGAGCCCCAGACTACCTGCTACCGGGCTTTCCCCTCCCTCCACCAGGGTCAGGAACAGAGTCAGCCTGGAAACACCAGGCAGGCATAGATGACCTGGCAGCCCCATCAGCGCTGACCTTTTGGGGGCTCTCCGAGCTACACGTCATCACGCTCACCCTTGTCACTCTGGACTCACTTCCTCTTCCTGGTCTCATCCTATGACAGAAGCCTCCTGACTGGGCCCGGCTGTCCCATCAGGTCCCAGTACTGACCTGCTGCCTGTACTGGCCGTGCGGGCTGCCCGAGGCTTCCGCAGAGAAACAGGCGTGGGGATAACGGAGCAGAAGCACGGTGGGTGACAGGAGGTGTCCCCAAACCTGGGACAATCTTGGAAAGCCACATGAGAAGGATGTTTGAAACCGGTGTCCTTCCTTAGCTTAAGGTGCACACGCTCAGCTTGCCAGCAACATGGCTTTCCACATGAAATGGTCAATTTCCCAAGAAAGTGAAGTTATGATTTAACTGTTGGCACCGAATCCTCATAATAGCTCCTTTAGAGATTGACAATCTATGAGTTTCAGGCCCTGAGGTCCCATGGGTTTGAGGCATCACAACCAATGTTTCCTCTGCCACTTTTTTTTTTTTTTTTTTTTTTTGTGGTACGCAGGCCTCTCACTGCTGTGGCCTCTCCCGTTGTGGAGCACAGGCTCCGGACACGTAGCCTCAGTGGCCATGGCTCACGGGCCCAGCCGCTCCACGGCATGTGGGATCTTCCCGGACTGGGGCACAAACCTGCGTTCCCTGCATCGGCAAGCAGACTTTCAACCACTGCGCCACCAGGGAAGCCCCTCTGCCACTTTTTTAGGTTAGGTTTTTAGGTCTGCACAGCTATGATGTATGTGCGACAAAACAAAGACTGGGCAACTGAGCAGAGACTAGCATTCCCATCACATGAGCAGGAACGCTCTGACATGCACGGGCCCGTACACTTGCAGCTGTGCTGCATACAGACCAAGCAGGAGGGAACATAAAGGGAAACCAGCTATAGACAAGACTGAAAATCCGACTCTGTCCTCACGGCCTGGCCGCAGATGTTCCACTGAGCAGGGGGATGAACCTAACAAGAGACACTCGAGAGTGTGCTCAGTGGCCTTCCTGGTCGCACCCCAGCTCCTGATCACCTGCCATCTGACCCCTTCAGGCACAGTCACCCACCCCAGCACCTCCCAGGGAAAACCC